CTGAATTAGTGGGCGGGGGGGGGGGTGGGAAAGATGCTCCCCTCCCTGAAACACAGCTTGCCGGGCAGCAGCTTTCAGGGCTGCAAGGATTTACCCCCCTGTGGTAGCGAGCCAGACTCCTCCCTAAGCTAAACAGCGAGCAGTGCTTAGCATGCAGGGAAGCTGCTCCTGATTTCTTCTGGATTAACAGCACGGTGTTCTCCCTTGTCTATTTTTGTTTTAAGGGAATCTAGGTTATGGCTTTCTTGTACGTCGTAGTTACCGAGTTGCATTATGGAAGTGAATACGGTGCATATTTAGTCCCAGGGGACCTCTAACAGTGTCCTGTTGATGAAGAATTTGGGGAGTGTGCAAAGGAGAGGCTTTGGTACAGAAAATGATGCTTAATGGTGATGCCAGGGGGGACCTCTTGCTTTGGTGGTATTTCTTTTGCCTGGGTGTGGAGCTGAATGTATTTATGTTTCCCCAGAGAAAGCTGGGAGGAGGATGCTGCACATGGTGCCAATTGTTGAAAAGCAACTAAAGACAGCAGAAATTATCAGGGTGAGGATGGGCAGCTCTGGGCTGAGCTCTCGAAGGGACTCGTGCCCTGTTCGCCATCAGCCTGAGAAAGCACTGAGTTTTCCCAGGTGATTCCTTGTAGCAGAGACATCCCAAATGCTGTGGGCAGGGCGTTGTCCTCTGTGTTGCTTTAATGCGGGAAATAAAGCTAAGAGCATCTTTCCACCCCCAAAATTATTCTAAAAAGCATCTCCCTTTAACTACACAGCAGAGGAAGAGCAAAGCCTGCCCAGCCCTGCATCTTCACATAGGAATGGGCAACACCAGAGACTTTGGGGAGGGTGTTCCCCATGCACATCCCGTGAGTCACCAAGAGGTGACCTGCAGAGGGAGTGTTTGGTCAGGTCAGGTGGCATCATGAGGCCGAAGCTGCTCAGCACCCGCTGCTGGGCAGCCCCAGGGCAGGCAGCCGGGGCTCCATGCCAAACCCCGCTCTCCCTCAGCCCTTGCTGCGGCTGTGACAGAGACCGCTGCGGCGTACTAGGGCACCAGTGAGATGCAGGACAGGACATGCCGGTCCTTGGGCAGCCCTGGGCAGACTGAGGCCGGAGCAGGCTGCCCTCTGTGCCGCATCCTGGGCTAGCTCCCCCCTGGAACCTCTTCCAGCAAGGTGTCCGAGCCTGTGTGCGGGCATGGGACAAGCAGCTCTCTCCTAAAACTTAGCTTCATTTTGCATTTCTTGTGCACCTTCGTTCCCTGTCCTGCCTCTTGCCTAGTTAGATGTAATTTCTGGAGCAGCGAGGAGGCTTCTTGCACACAGTACTGGGAAAGTTCAGCGGGAGACTGGTCTTCACCAAACCCCTTGGTGTTTCTACAGGTCTGGGACATCCCAGCAATGCATACAAAATCAATCCTTTAAGAAAAATACCCTTCTGCCAAAATCTGAATTAACCACAGGAAACCAAAGCAGGTTGTAGTTCCTGGCCCTGTTTTTTGCAACCAGTTTTGCCCTTTTAAACCTACATAGCAGGGCACAACATATACCAGTGGGGGCTTGAGAAATCCCTTTGTGCATGAGTCAAGAATATCCTGGGAACAGCAGGGAAACCCTGCCGCCTCTCTCCTCTGAGCGCTCAGCCCTTCAAATATTTACCTGGAAAACTTCCCCGGACTCTCTAGTGTGATATACTAAATCTGCAAATGCCAAATGGAAGTGAGGAAATGCTGGGCATGAAATATAAGCCAGGTTGGTACATAACCGAGAGCTCTGGGAAAAAATGCGCCAAGAGAACAGGCAAGCACTGTCCAACTTTTCATCCCTGCTCATATGGAAATTTCCTAATTAGTAGGTAGCTTTACTCATATTGGCAAAGCAATCCTCTACCAAACCTTCTCCTTTATTCCCTTGAAAGCAATTGGTGTCACCGTTCTGTTCAAGAGTTATTTTGGAAATGAGGTCAAAACAGAGTTTTCAGGGAAAGACTGCAAAATACTAGTCCAGGCAGGTACCACGCCACACCCAGGGATGCTCCTACCCTGGCTCTGCAACTCTCCCCACTGGAAGAAGTTGAGCAAATGCAAACTCTAGATCCACGCTCATACACTGAATCATCGACCGACATCTCAGCTTAGAATAAGCTTAAATTGGATTCAGTTTTAAGAGGGGCATGCAGGAGTTCATAAATAATTTTTCATACGTATTAAGTGGGTCAGTTCTGGGATCCCTGACCAGCATCCCCAACCCTGGGCAAATCCCATCACCTCTCTATGCCCCAGCAACAGCGTGTCCCAATACTGATCTTCTCTGTAATGTGTTTAAAAAAGAATAATCCTGTAGGAGAGCAGGAGGAAGCAGAAAAATAGGCCTTGTCAGCTCATTAATGGGCTTGCCAGGAGGATCATGCCAGCGCAGCTCTGCTAGCCAGGCCCCCAGCAGAGATGCAGGCTGAGGAATTGCCTTTGCTAGCGGGGTTTATGATCCCACCTTCCCCAAGAAAATAAGCCAAAAGAAGAAAGAAACACTGCATTTACAACAAGCCATAAGAACAGTGTTTTTTCCTCGATCATAATGCAAAAACCCACCTTTAGTTTCTATTCACAGACCCATGGCGCAACTGCCCTAAACCTGGCTCCTTCTCTGAAGCCAGTATTGGTGCAACAGTTTAGGCTCTCTGCCCATGGCTGGGTAACTCCATGCACCCTGTCAGAGGACATTGAGGCACTAGGGCCACCACAAACTGGTTCTCGTGGAGGGGGGCACCTGCCACACTGTGCACATAAGCCAAAAAAGCCCAACTCTTGCTGTTAATGTTGGAGGCACAGTAGTCCCCCTTCCCCATAAAACACTTTTCTCTGCATTAGCAGGGTACGTGCTGGAACAGTGACTTGGCCTGTATCTATGCAGCATCTTAAATAACATCCTGTTTTCCTAGAGGCCCTCATTTCATCTCCAGATTTGGGGTTTTACTTTACACCACAACAGGTTCGACGATGCTGCAGGGCAGGAGCAGGAAAAAAACACTTTTTCCATATTTGAAAAGTTGACCCCAGCCTTCAAAAGCTTTGATGACAGCTTTGATCTCCAAAGGCTGCATGAGCTTTACCAGCCCCCTTAAGCCAGCCCTTCAGCTACAGCTTTTCTGGTTTTCTCTGTGCACACCCTCCCTTGCCCACACTTTGCTTCTGAAAGTGCATTCAAGCACATCGTGCTCATCAGCCTCAAGCAGAGAGAAATGCAGAGCTGCAAGTTGCTCAGTCCTCATGGTTTTAGGAGGCTCCAGTGAATCTTGCCTCATCTACCTATTGCACGGTAGGCTTGGCAACCTCTGGGTGCTCCAGTGAGTTCCACCACGGCCAACGGCCCCATGAGCCGTCACTCCCAGCACACAGCACCAAGCAGGATGAGCAAGTGGGTGTGAAACAGGGTGCACCCAGGACGTCACAGTGCTCACTTTGAAGAGCTTGCTGCCCTGGTTCAGCGAGGAGCAGGGTGGTGCAGCCCTGCCATCCTTATGCAAGCTAAGGTCACACCAAGTTTGGGCTGGAGCTGCCAAATTTCCCAGAGCAGGGCCATCAGAAGGGGGCAGGGAGAAGAAACGGCTCCACATGGATCGGGTGTGGGTCGAGCCCCATGGTGGGGGCAAGGAACTGACCCCAAGGGAGGACACCAACACTGTGAGTTGCTGGCAGCCCCACCACGAATGATCTAACATGCAGAAAATTGATTGAGCTACAGGGTGCACTTGGTGTCGGAGTGTCTGGCCCTTCATATACACAGTTTGGTTTATTGATTTACAGCGATCCATGGCGCAGAGGTGCCCAGGCCAGGAAAGAGCCATCATGGACCATGCCCGCTGACCTCCAGCACTGTGCCGATGTCACCGCTGCATCCTGGCCCACCTCTTCTCCTGTCCTACCTCACAGCACCTTGTCACTACATGAACATCCATTTTAAAAAAAAGAAAATATCCAGGAAAACAGAAGTGGGTTAGCCAGATTAAGAAAAACGCGATACTGGTTTGAGGCCAAGCTGGTGCCATACAGATAAAACACACATGACGTAGAGCGACCTGCTCTTTGGGATCCTTCCAAAGTCCTGTGCTAGGAAATCACAAAGATAAAGGTGAGGAATGGCAAAGCATACAGTAAGTGCACAGCACGCTGAAATTTCTTTGTTAAATGAAGGAGCAGAAATAGAGGGACTAGTTCTCCTTTCAGTCCGATTTTAACCAAGAGAAAAAAAGGACCTATGGTTTTGTAACGCTTGTGCCCTGCATAAACAAGAAACTGTTCCTCCATCCCCTGTCCTGCAGCATCCACACACTCTCCCCGGGGACCCTAGCAGCAGAGCAGCTCCCAAAGCAGATTATGGCTTTTGCAGCCCAGTGCTATTTTGCAATTAGACTTTTCTTCTCTCTCTCAGGGCTGAAGCCTGATTAGGAGGGGAGGGCAACGCAATCTGGCCTAGTTTTAAAATGCTTGCTGAAGTAAGGAGAGATTTCGGCACCCAGGGCTGAACGCAGGAATGTTGGCTTTGCTGGCCAAGTCCCTCCCTGTTCTGCCACCCAGAAAAAGCTGCAGCTGGAAACTGCAGCAGCTTGCTGGGCTTATACACAGTGCCTCAGTTTCCCTAGCTGTAAAAGAGACAGCAGGGAGGTTGGCAATCACTAGCTGCAAAGGGCACTGTGCCATAATTCAAATGAAGTGTATCATGTGTTGGCTTTCTTCAAAGTCAGCCTGATGTTGTACTCCTCGGGCTTTTTTATTAATTGCATTGCATACGAAACCAGGGTATGTGATCTTACATTTGCTGTGGAGAGGAAGCCCCATGCTCTTTGTACTTTCTTTTTTCACTGGCAGGCACAGGCGACTGCTGAGACCTGCCAAAAACCCTATGGACAAGCTGAAGGCAGGGAGAAAGCGTTGGATTTAGGACAAGCAGGCACACTGGGTTTAGGACAGGCAGGCACATTGGATTTAGGACAAGCGGGTGCAGGAGCGCTCTCTTGCTCACCCATAACTGATGCTCTCCTCTGCAACCTGAGCAAGGCTGACACACAATGCTCCCTTGCCCAGGGAGCTGTCTTTTTAGCAGCCCATCCACTTATGATACTGTTTTATAAATAATAATAGCTTTTAGAAGGCCTGCCTCATAACAAGCCCTAAATCAAGCTAAAAGGCCGCTCGAATGGGCGCGGACTGAAATGAGGAGCTTAAGCGCTGCCCAGAAGTACACCCAGCTCCGAACAGCCCTGGACCGGCGCAGCCCCCTAAACGGAGTTGTCCTCATTTCCTTCAGCCAATTTGGGCTGGATGAAGCTTCCTGTCTTCTCTAAGACAAGCAATCGCAAGATAGAGAAAGCAGTGGTGGGGAGGGAAGAGGATATCTTCAGTTATAGCTGCGACAGCTGTAAAGGTTATGTGCAGCCATGAAAATGTTGTTACAAAACCACCTATTGTAAACACCACGATTAATTCAATCCCCAGCAAAAAAACCCAAACATTAAATGGTGATTCTGGCCAACTGTATACAAGGATAGCATTATGTCATTTTAAGTTTTAAAAATTGTAATTTTGATCTGAGCTGTACCTCTGGAGTTTAAGGCTTCTCGTGGAAGCTGAGCTAGCTTTTGATTTAAGGGGACTATCACAGGAGCAAGAGTTACAGTCTTGCGGTCTCCTGGATGAAGTGGGATCATATTGAAATTAAATGTGAAGCCTCCAGGCTTTCCTGCAAACATTTTGAAGTCTTAAAAGCAATCAGAGAGGGGAAAACGTGTCACTATTTGTTACAGCCTGCTCCTAATCAGGCCACTGAAATCTCCTTTGCGCAGAAGTGCTTTAGCAAAGGAAATCAGGGCTGCAAAACAGCCTTTATGTAACAGTGATGATTTCTCCCTTCTGTGCTAAGAGCTGTGCCAGTTCTCTGCTTCTCGATAATTGCCGTACAACCCATTAGAGGAGTATTTAACTTGACATGTCACTGGAGCAGCAGCTCAGCTCCAGGCGCTGCCATTGCCAGGCAAACACCACTGCAGGCAGGGCTAATGCCAGTCTGATCACAGAAGGGCCAAACCAGGGAAACATCGGACAAAAAAGCAGTCTGTGAAGCTAGGAAATTGAGCTGGGGGTCCCTGTGCTACCAGTACACGTTTGCGGGTGGTGGTGGTAGAGGTGCTTGCAGGGCATCGTGCATCCCAGCTCAGTGCGTCTCTCCTGGTTCAGCTGCTGGAGACATCCCCGAGCTTCCCAGGGATGAGATAGCTACAGATGCATCCACACCAGATATAGGATAAAATGTGGAGGGTGATGGAGCAGATGGGAGGACCTGATGCCTACATCAGCCATGTTGGGGGACTTGGGGGTCTTTATAGCAGCTTAATGGATGCTTAAATAAAGGCACTGCCAAAGCATCCGATGAAAGCACTGAGCCTTGGTCCACGGTGAAACCTGAGTGTGAGGAAGAGCACCGCCTCACCTCCGAGTCCTTGTCCAGCTGGTTCCTGACCACGATCATGTTGTACAGCACCCGGTCATCGTCCGCCTCCGTGTGGGTCACATCATGTGGGGTGCTCCACAGGTTCTGCTCCTCGTCCCGTGCCAGTGTGGCTCCGAAGGAGGCGTAGGGGTTGTTGTTACTGCAGAGATGGGGAGAGGCAAGGCAGCATTATCTACCACAGCATCACACTGCCTCCTTTTACCTTCGCAGGGTAAAGTGCCCATTTCCATGGCATCCCCTCTCGCAGCCCAACGTGCTGCCTGGGAGAGAGGAGGAAGCGGAGAAGGGGGGAATGGGAAGGCAGTCAGAGTTTTTTACCTTAGCAAACATCCTGACCACGCAAGCCATGGTTCAAACCAGGCAGTGCTGCCATGAAACCAAAGGCATCAGACACATGATTTTGCTAAAGACACCAGATATTATTTGAGCAGCTAGGATGGAGGAACTGTGAGCATCCATTTGTGAGGATGAAAGACAGCATCTCCCCGTTGCTCCTGCAGCCCTCTGTCCTGCTCCCCATCACACCTTCCCACCCCAAACCCTGTGCAAGCCCCCCCAACCTCTCCGAGCTTAACGTGGGAACAGTTCTAATTAACTTAGACTCAAAAATCCCGGCGGCTCCGGAGGGTATTTTCTCTCTGCCCGCCTAACCCTGCAGCCATGCCAAGATCCCAGCGGCATGATCTGTCCCCACGGAGACTTTGTGCACAGAAGGGCAAGGGGACGGCTGCATGCAAAGCCTCTCCCTTGCCTCTTGGCCAAAGAAGCAGCTTCTACCCATCTTCTCCTCAAAGGCAGTGCCGTTGGGCATGGTTTTATTTTGGACAAAACACACACCACCTCTGCTGAGGGAGCTGGGACTGGTTAGCCTGCGGAAGAGATGGCTTGGGGGATCAGGTGTATAAACACCTGATGTGAGGGAGCAAAGGAGACAGAGCCAGACCCTTCTCAGTGGTGGCCCATGGTAGGACACACATTGAAATACAGGAAATTCTGTTTAATCGTAAGAAAAAAATGTTCTACTGCGAGGGTGGGTGAACACTGGCACAGGTTTCCCAGAGAGGTTGTGGAGATACTCAAAACCTAACCAGACATGGTCCTGGGCAACCTGCTCCAGCTGACCCTGCTCGAGCAGGGGTTGGACTGGATGCTCTCCAGAGGTCCCACCTCCATGACCATGTTTCCGTGTGACCCATGGCTCTGTTTTCTCCCCAGCAGCCTGAATCCTACCGAATCAAGCAGGCAATCCCCACAGGGGAAAACCCACCCCAGCAGCTCCTATCCGAGAGGTACGGCAATGCAGCGCAAGGACCTGTGCCAAGGCACAGAAAGGACGTGTAGCCCCATCTTTTTTTTGGGGACGGAAATGTCCTCAGCCTGCTTGTGAACTCCTGGCTTTATTTGCTTAGCGGTCAGCAAAGCAGAGCATCACCTTCTGGGAAGGCTGTCCCCGCTGAGGCAAGGAGCTTTTCTCTGTACTGGTGGCAGTTCTGTGTTTTACAGCTTTATGTTGCTACTGGGGCATGCATTTTTTTAATATAGGATTATTTAATTCTGCGGGGAGAACTTTTAGTAGAGTACTTCCATAATGTTTCTAATCAAGATGTCCAGACACTTGAGAAAAACAACGCAAACTGAGAAATATTTTTGGCCTTACCCAATAGTTTCATCAGCCATCCTGTGGCAATCCCTGCTCACTTCTTGTTAGAACAACCCACTGGTTATTCTATTTCCTACCCAAACCCCATTCCATTTGCAAGGAACCCATCCAGCAAAACCTCAGATAACACGGCGGGCGCTTTAGCCGTGACGTCAAGCCATAAAAAAGATGCTAAGAGGAGCTCCAGCACACAGATAAAATAGAAGAAAAATCATCCACATCAGTATTCCTGCAGGAAGGTTAATTAGACTTTCAACACACCAAAAACCTGAGCAACAGGTAATAAGGGAAAAGATAATCTCTTATAATCGCTCATTAAAGACAAGCAAACGAACGTAACTTGCAGGGTGTGGATGGCATAACTCAGCCGTTCCTACACCGGAGCCAGCATGGGTTCGCTCAAACCATTTTTCAAACGTGGAGCAGACAGGATCCCTGGAAGGAATCACTCAGGAGCCAGCCGTGCTATCAGCATGAGTTTGGTCCCATCCTGCCTTCAACAGGCTTCTTCCCACTCGCTGACTTACCGGTAGCCCTTAACATCTGACTTACTTTAAAAACCAGTATTTGGCAATAATACTAACACGCCTTAACTTTTACAAGCCACTCCCTCACAGCTTGCAAGGTGCTTCCCAGCACATTTCTATTTCCAAACCACAGCACGGAGCGTCCAACAGCCTGTAAGGGACGTGGGCAGTGCGCAGGAGATAGCAAATCCATACAAGCACGGAGAGCTCTGCCAACAGTGAGCACCCTCAGAGCACTGGACTTCCAAGCAACATTTAAAATGAAGAAATGGGGGCGGGGGGAAGAAGCACATGAACAGCAGCCTGCTTTGCAGGTTACAGGAGTCGCCGTGGGACCAGAGGGGACACGGACCATTTCACACTTTGGGCTTTATCCAGAAAATGGTGAGTGCTAACGCTTCATCAACAAATTTGTGCTCCAAGGGGCTTTCAGTCCAGATTAAACCTGTTTAAGGATTCAGAGCCCAAATTCTCAGTTTACTTGCATCCGAGCCAGATCCCACCTTCCCACATTGAGAGACAGCCAGGCAGCCTGGATGCTTTGCTGCATTTTGGCCGGGGTTTCTTTTCCCAGCCCTGCACTAGCACTGTGCCTACATCCGTGCTCCATCCCCACCTCCACACACAGTGCTAACTGCTCTCATTGGCCTTGTCATGGGTTACAGCCAGCCTTGTATATGCTTGGGTAATACATGCGCCTAATTATACACATATTACCTCCTCCTCACTGCTTCATTCTTTGACACATTGGATTTTTGAGGCTGCAACCACTCTGCTTGGGGAAAATAAGGTGAAAAGTCATGAAGTCAACATTTCACTAGCAACACCAGCTCCCAAAAACTAAAACTCAGCTAAAAGATCTGAAATCTCAAGGAAGTCATTCATTTTAAACAACATTGCAATAAAAATAAAAATACAGCAAGCATGCTCCTGCAAGATCCCGGCTCTGAAATAAAACCCCAAAATCCTCCCAAAGAGGGACAAGCCAGTGATTAGGCTGTTGGATTAATTATGCTGGCACACTTGTGCAAGAGCAGGTGCCTTTCGAATGCCCAGCATTTATACAGGCTTTCCTACTTAGAGCCAGCATTAATTGGATTGCCGGCAGAAGGCATGTTACTAAAGAAAGGTGCCCCGCAAGAGACAGCCACCCCGGCCGGCAAGGCAGCAGGAAGGAGCCTCTCCACATGTGTGCTCGGCTCTCGTTAGGTTAATACCAATTTCCTGGGCTGGAGGCCCCATGCTCAGGATTATCTGGTTATTATTTAGGTAACTGCTTTAACAGCATGAAATCAGGACATTTCAAGCCCTGTTGCTGCCTCTGCTATTACCCAATACCTATGTAGGCAACACCAGGAGCATCCCACCCTCCTTCTTGAAAGGCCTCCGTCCCACCGGTGACACAGGGAGGGCACGGTCCCTGCCCCGTCCCAGGGCTGGGGTACCCACTGCAGGCTTCAGTGGTGGCCAGGACCCCGGCTGGCAGCTGGGGAAGGAGGGAGAGCTGCCACAAACCCGAGGCACAGATGTTTTGCAACATGCAAAACCTCCTTACATGCTTGCACAGCTCACAGCTCTTCTCCACGACTCAGGGCTTCATCTTTTTGCACAAAAATCCCCCCCAACCACACGGCTCGTGCCCAAGACAGAAGCGATCGATAGCAGGAGAGAAAAGTCTGCTCTCTAGAAGTCAGCACGCACACTGCTTTCACACCAAAGCCGGCTCCAGCTGTGCAGTGTCGTCTCCTTTCCAGCATCCCCGGCCCGGGAACAGAGCTCTGCGCCGCACAGAGCTGCCCGACAGCGGGACCCGACCCCCTGCGTAGTGATGTGGGGACCGAGGCACCCCTGCTCACAGGCAGGACCCCCTTTTTCGTCGGCGTCTCAGCCTCCTCTATTGAAATCCCACCGTGGAAAGACAAAAGCTGAACAGTTCCTATGGCAAGGGGTGCAGGGGAAACACCGAAGAGGCGCTGCTCTTGGTTCACTTGCTAAAACTTAACCGTAAAAAAACCCCATGGCACGCAGCAGTCCAGCGTGCATCGCGCCACAAGGTGTCAGAAACAACCCGGCCCCTATGGCAAGCCAACCCAGGCGGAAAGAGAACTGAAAGCAGCTTGTTACCGCCAGGAGAAAATCCCTTTGTAGCCTCATCTGGCTCTCGCAGGGGATGGCCAACTCCCCACGGAGAGCAGTGGCTGTAAAATCACTGGAAACTGTTTTGGGGGAAAATGGAGCTCGGCTTGACACGATGGGGCAGCCAACCTGCGGGAAAGGGCTCTGGGGTCCGGACGGTGCCACCATGGGGGTGAAAAGGGGCTCACGCGTGGCCGTGGACCGGGCAACCCACCTCCGGTGGGAGCATCCCTCCTCCTGCGCAAGGCGCGGGGGGCTCAGCCTCATCCCTCCAAGGGGGCTGGGGGTTACGGAAGGGGACGGGGGTCTCACCTGAGCAAGGGCT